TCTGCCCATACAGGTGGAGGAGAGCAGCAGGGATCCGAGGAGAAGCTGGAACCTGTGCCGCTCCTCTACTCCCTGCCGAGCCGTGGCTGTTTGCGCCACCTGGCACCCCTGTTTGCAAGGGGGCCCTGTGCTCGGCATGGCAACAGGGGTGAGGGGGCCCAGCCAGGCCAGCCCTGGCTGCGCCCCTCTCAGCTGTGCCTGAGGCGAGTGCCTCACTCGCCTCATGGTAGCTACAGCCCTGCCGGGGACCCCCAGTGCTGCAAGGCAGAAGCGCTAACCACTACGCCACTGTGCTGCCCAATTATCTGTAAAAACACATCTTCAAGTCCAGTTGCCTTGATTTACTTTTCACAGATATATCACGACCGGGATGATTGGGAACCTTCACAGACATGTTGGACATTCCTTTCCTAAATCCGGCCTCCACACATATAGGAAGACTTTTGGAGGGGGTCTGTGGGAATTTGTCCCATTGGTGAGGTCAGGTACTGATGTTGGATGAGAAGACCTGGATCACAATCGGTGTTCCAATTCATCCCAGAGGTGTTCAGTAGATTTGAGGTCGGGGCTCTGTGTTCCATGTCCGGCCTCACGGTGCAAGTTAACAAGTCCCCCGGAGTTCAGCTTTAATATGATCCATGTTGGTGGAGGTTATTACCTTGTTTTCCTTGTACAAGGAGTCCAAGTGTAGCATGGCCCTCAGTTCATCCCTTCTGCTGATACTAGGCTGACTGCGTGGAAGTTCCTCATCTAAAGCTGCGCGCGTCTTTTTTAGCCCCTTAGAAACAAAAACAAAACATATGACAGCAGTAGACAATATGGAGGAGAAAGAGACACAAGTTAATATTAGCACTATCCCAATATATCCAAACTGGAGGGAGGAGATATGACACTGGGGAACAAGGATATGGAGTCAGCCATTTGTCACAGTCTGTTATAAGACTGTTGAAATTTCAAAGGGCCCGTGGGTATTCTGGGCTGTATCTAAATGCTCAGGGGGAGCTCTGGGCTGTATCTACGAGTCCAAAGGGTGCTCCGGGCTGTATCTAAACGCCAAGGGGTGCTCCGGGCTGTATCTAAACGCCAAGGGGTGCTCTGGCCTGTATCCAAGGGCTCAGGGGTTCCCTGGCCTCTATCTAAGGGCCCAGGGGTTCCCTGACCTGTATCCAAGGGCCCAGGGGTTCCCTGACCTGTATCCAAGGGCCCAGGGGTTCCCTGACCTGTATCCAAGGGCCCAGGGGTTCCCTGACCTGTATCCAAGGGCCCAGGGGTTCCCTGACCTGTATCCAAGGGCCCAGGGGTTCCCTGACCTGTATCCAAGGGCCCAGGGGTTCCCTGACCTGTATCCAAGGGCCCAGGGGTTCCCTGACCTGTATCCAAGGGCCCAGGGGTTCCCTGACCTGTATCCAAGGGCCCAGGGGTTCCCTGACCTGTATCCAAGGGCCCAGGGGTTCCCTGACCTGTATCCAAGGGCCCAGGGGTTCCCTGACCTGTATCCAAGGGCCCAGGGGTTCCCTGACCTGTATCCAAGGGCCCAGGGGTTCCCTGACCTGTATCCAAGGGCCCAGGGGTTCCCTGACCTGTATCCAAGGGCCCAGGGGTTCCCTGACCTGTATCCAAGGGCCCAGGGGTTCCCTGACCTGTATCCAAGGGCCCAGGGGTTCCCTGACCTGTATCCAAGGGCCCAGGGGTTCCCTGACCTGTATCCAAGGGCCCAGGGGTTCCCTGACCTGTATCCAAGGGCCCAGGGGTTCCCTGACCTGTATCCAAGGGCCCAGGGGTTCCCTGACCTGTATCCAAGGGCCCAGGGGTTCCCTGACCTGTATCCAAGGGCCCAGGGGTTCCCTGACCTGTATCCAAGGGCCCAGGGGTTCCCTGACCTGTATCCAAGGGCCCAGGGGTTCCCTGACCTGTATCCAAGGGCCCAGGGGTTCCCTGACCTGTATCCAAGGGCCCAGGGGTTCCCTGACCTGTATCCAAGGGCCCAGGGGTTCCCTGACCTGTATCCAAGGGCCCAGGGGTTCCCTGACCTGTATCCAAGGGCCCAGGGGTTCCCTGACCTGTATCCAAGGGCCCAGGGGTTCCCTGACCTGTATCCAAGGGCCCAGGGGTTCCCTGACCTGTATCCAAGGGCCCAGGGGTTCCCTGACCTGTATCCAAGGGCCCAGGGGTTCCCTGACCTGTATCCAAGGGCCCAGGGGTTCCCTGACCTGTATCCAAGGGCCCAGGGGTTCCCTGACCTGTATCCAAGGGCCCAGGGGTTCCCTGACCTGTATCCAAGGGCCCAGGGGTTCCCTGACCTGTATCCAAGGGCCCAGGGGTTCCCTGACCTGTATCCAAGGGCCCAGGGGTTCCCTGACCTGTATCCAAGGGCCCAGGGGTTCCCTGACCTGTATCCAAGGGCCCAGGGGTTCCCTGACCTGTATCCAAGGGCCCAGGGGTTCCCTGACCTGTATCCAAGGGCCCAGGGGTTCCCTGACCTGTATCCAAGGGCCCAGGGGTTCCCTGACCTGTATCCAAGGGCCCAGGGGTTCCCTGGCCTGTATCCAAGGGCCCCGGGGTTCCCTGGCCTGTATCCAAGGGCCCAGGGGTTCCCTGGCCTGTATCTAAGGGCCCAGGGGTTCCCTGGCCTGTATCTAAGGGCCCAGGGGTTCCCTGGCCTGTATCTAAGGGCCCAGGGGTTCCCTGGCCTGTATCTAAGGGCCCAGGGATGAATCGGGCTGTATCTAAGGACCTAGTGGTGCTCCGGACTGTATCTAAGGGCCCACAGATGATAGGGGCTGTATCCAAGGACCCAGTGGTGCTCTAAGCTGTATCTAAGGGCACAGGGGTGCTCTGGGCTGTATCTAAGAGCCCAAAGGGTGCTTTGGGCTGTATCTGAGGGCCTATGGGTCCTCCAGGCTGTATATAACAGCCCAGAGAAGCTTAGGCTGTATCTATAGGCTTGAGGGTGCTCCAGGCATGCTCTGAGCTGTATCTAAGGGCCGGTGGGTACTCTGGGCTGGGGGCTCATTCACACCAGCTCCGTGCATTATTAGTGCAGTTCTGTCCAAATAACGCATGGTACCACACATTAACAATGCAGGAGGTGCGTTGCATTGGCATTCCTCTGAATAGCACCCCAAACTCACCTCTCGCCCTCAATGCAATCGACCTCACCTGCATGCACAACTTTTTTCAATCGCAGCGCACGGTATTGCAGTACCACGGTTTGTGGCGGAGTCTACTGCATGGCGGGTGGGAGGTGAATTTGAGGTGCCATTCAAATGAATGGCAACACAACGCACCTTCTGCATTATTAACGCACACTAGGTGCGTTACGCGCTATCATACCATTTATGCATTGACCTGGTGGGACCGAGTCCTAAATCTAAGGGGCCTGGGATTGCTCCGGGGTGCATATAAGAACCCAGGGGTGCTCCAGGGTCTATGGGGAACCTAGCAGGTCCCTGCACATAAAAATCTCCCCCCTTTACCCATGAGACATCCCCCTGTCCACAGACACCCACACACAAAACATCAGAGTACCCCAGGAGAGCAGAGACCGACGTCACCCCCCTGCATAGAGCCAAATCATAACAACATGGAGCATGACACAGCACAGTCACCTTCCTGTTCAGGAACTCTCTGACCAGGGATGCCGCCACCTCTTCTATCCGGAGGCTCATCTTTCCCGGGCCGTGTTTAGGCCCGGTTACCAGGGAGTTCTGTCACTATAGAAACAGTTACAGTTCAGCTCCCACCCTGCTCTCCTGCCTTCCAGGAGCGGATTGGCTCCCTCTTCCGTGAGTTTTCCTGGGTTCCGGGCGCTGATTGGCTCCCTCTGCTGAAGAGGGATTTAACCCCTCGCTGACAGACACCCTGTGTAGTACAGTGCAGGCGGTGCTGAGTGTCATTGGGGGTGACTCTAGGCTGACGTCATGATCACTGATCATTACCTGACAGCAGAGTGACCCCCTCCTCCTCTAAAGGGAATCGCTGGGCTGACATTACTAACTTCTCCTGATAGAAATCCAATCACTACATTACCCCCTGAGTGTAGACTGGGGTCAGACCTGTAGATCCTGATATCACTCCGCCCCCCCAGAATGATTATATCCTGGAAGCGCAGACCCTGCAGAATAAAATGGCGGCAGATGCAAATGTTTATGTCATACAATATTAGCGCAACGCTTTCAAACAAAGTTTCAGTAAAAATTACACTTAAGTTAATTTTAATGCTCAATAACACAACATAATACCCGATTCATTTGTATAATATAAAAGACGAGGTCATGCCGAGTAAAAAGATACCCAACATGCCCGGGTTAAAAACTGTGTGCGCCCCGCGAAAGGGTGAGAACAGTGGAGGAACAATCGCCATTGCGACCCAGGCGGCTGCTATGGGGCACAGGGGGAGCCTGGCCAGGACATCCCCCTGATGCCGTGTGGGCCGCCTGGGTCACTATGGCATCTCAGGCTGCTGGCTGTCACTGGCGGCTGTGAGGAGAAAGACGCCGCTGTTCAGATCGCTGACAACCTGTCATCTGTGCAGCGGCGCGCGTTCCTCATCACAGCCGCTGCTGAGTCAGTGACAGCCAGCAGCTGCGGAGGAGGAGGACGGGGCTCGGTGTCGGCAGAGGAGGAGGCGGGCCCGGCGTCAGCAGTGGAGGAGGAGGAGGTGGGGCCCTGCAACAGAGGAGGCAGGGCCCGCCAGCGACCGCGGAGGAGGCGGACAACAGATAAGGGCTGACAGGTAAGAGGTGTGCAGAGGTGTGAACAGAGAGTCTATGGTGTTCTCAGCAGGGTCACTCTCAGGTGGGCTGTTTAGGATCTCAGGTGGGCATAACTAGAAATCACAGGGCCCCATACAAAATTTTGCTATGGGGCCCTTTGATTTCTAGTTACGCCCCTGGGTGAGAAAATATACCGCACCCCAAATTTTGTCCATAGGCGACGCTTTAAAAGCCCGCACGGGTCACGGTTTAGAGTGAATATCGGCCCCAGAATCATTGCTCTCATTCTGGCGCACACGGCGATTCTTAACATGCGTTGTTTTCATACGTAGGTGACCTGACGGTGTTATCATTAGTATGCAGGCGTTCATGGCGACGAGGAACTTTAAACATTTTTGGGGATTTTAACATTTTTTCTTTTTTGCTTAATTGTCATCACAGGAAGGTCTCAAGCCCTCTAGGTCAGGGGTGCCCACAATTTTTCGTCTGGAGATCTACTTTTCAAATGACGAGCTCAATGAGATCTACCAACGAAAAAACACATGCGTTCAGGGGCGGGAGGGGGCGTGGCGGTGCATTGAAGTCAATGGCACCACAGCCAGGCCCCTCACCCACAGTGCGATCGCCTGCACCCGGAAACCCAGGCACATTAGTGCCTGCGTTCCGGTCCAGTGCGATCTGCAAAAATGCTGCAAGCACTATTTTTGCAGATCACACTGGACCGGAATGTAGGCACTAATGTGCGTAATGTGCGGGCGATCAAACTGTGGGCGGGGGACATGGCTGCGGTGCAACCCCACGCCCCTCCCACCCCTAAACGCATTCCAGTGCGTTCTGGAGGCGCGGGCGTCCTATTCTCCCGCAGTGCTCGTGTGGCCGACATGGCACACGGGGAGAGGTGTCCCGCCCCTTTCCGTCTGCGGCGTCTGACACAGGGGGGCTAAGTTGCCGCACCATGGGCCTCTGGGTTGTACTTGCCCCCTGGGCTAAAAGTTGCCAGTCAGCCCCTGGACGTCTGACACATTCAGCCGGCAGCCGCATAAGCACCGCGGGAGCATAGCCGTAGCCAGCTCCTTTTGCAACTTGTCCTCTGGATCTCCCCTGCTCTCCCGGGCAGAGGCAGCGGGAGATCCGAGGAGCAGAGAAAAAAGCACTTCACCTGCGAGGGGGGGAGGGGGCGGGTGACGGAGCCGCTGTAACAGCAGCATGTGCAGTGAGGAGAGAGAGAGACGCCGGCTGTCAGATCCAAGCCGAGCGCCTCTCCTCACCGTCCCGCGCCGCCTGCAGCTTCACTTTTCCTCGGATCCCCGCTGCATACGGATGGGGGAGAGCAGCGGGGATCCAGAGAAGACAGGACATCGCGATCTACCAGTGATCGCTACGCGATCGACCTTATGGGCACCCCTGCTCTATGTGATAGCACAGTGGTAGGCAACCATGGCACTCCAGCTGTTTTGGGACTACAAGTCCCATGAGGCATTGCAAGATTCTGACAGCCACGGGCATGACTCCCGGAGGCAAAGGCATGATGGCATTTGTAGTTCTGGCCCACCTGGAGTGCCAAGATTGCCTAGCCCCGTGATAGCACATTGGAGGTGACAGATTCTCTGTAAGGTAACATTTGAGGTCTATTCAGAGCGGGGAGCCGTGAGTGAAGGCCGTGACACACTGCACGCGAAGCAGCGCGGAGCGGTGGCGCGCTGCCTTTGCGAGCAGTGTGTCATGTAATTTTCTCCTCGGCAGCTCAGCTTGCAAGAGCGTGCCGAGATGAAAAATTTAATCTTCAGCCAATCGGCTCTCGCTTATAAACCAGCGCGTCGGAATGTGACAGCTGGCTGGTTGTTACGGACGAGCCGATTGGCTGAAGGTCCATGTCAATCATCTGACTGCACTCACCTCACACACTGCACGCAAAGCTGCGTGCCGGATAGCTTTGCTTCGCTCTGCGCGGCTTCGAGTCCAGTGTGTCACGGCCTTTACAGTCACGGCTCTCTGCAGGGAGATGATCGAGAAGTGAGCAAGCGACGGTGTGTGTTTGCTCACATCTATTGAGCCGACGTGTGACAGTTTCATTGTGACACGTCGGCTCCAACTATGAGGATGAGTGAAAATCACTTACCTCATAGTTCTCCTTTAATCTCTGGCCTGCTATGGTTGCTTGAGATGCTGCAGCAGGGGGCAGCAGTTGTTCAGATTGGTGCTACGCATACCGGCAATGGGCAGCAGTTGTTCAGATTGGTGCTGTGCATACTGGTAATGGACAGCAGGGGGCAGCAGTTGTTCAGATTGGTGCTGTGCATACTGGTAATGGACAGCAGGGGGCAGCAGTTGTTCAGATTGGTGCTGTGCATACTGGTAATGGACAGCAGGGGGCAGCAGTTGTTCAGATTGGTGCTGTGCATACAAGCAATGGCCAGCAGGGGGCAGCAGCTGTTCAGGTTATAACGGACAGCAGGTTGTATTTTTGGGCAGCGTTGGTTTTCATACCAAGAGCCAAAAAAAAAAAAAATTTGTTCCAGTTTTGGATCTATTCGGATTTTTATGTCTTTCTTTTTTTTGGATTTCGGATCCGTCTGAAAAACATACTACACACATTCTATGTACTTTTTTGGGGGGCTTGGGCATCACATTCAGTGTCCTCAGCTGGTTAATAAAATATATAAGTCATATAAAATGCAGCTAATTAGTACTTTGCCGTTACCGTGGTGCGAGGAATTGTTTTTACAATAAAGTCCAAGAAGAGGAACGACTGTCTGTGTATAATATTAGGCTGGAATTGGGCCTTGAAGAATAACGGCGGCACTGCAAGGGTTAAATGCTCGTTTTGGACCAGGGTTTTAAATAAAGAAGAAATACTCACCCGATCCTCTGTCCCCTCTGGCTGCTAGACCCATTCCCGCAGCCTCTTCTCCCCCGGGGCCCAACGGACCCGTGACATCATCATATCCATTGACTTGCATTGGACTTGAGGATGCTGAGGGACATTCTGGAGCTTGAGGGGGCGGGGGGGGGTTGGGGGAGGAGCTGTCACTGCAGTGGGATGGAGGTTCAGGTGAGTGTATCTAGATCAAATTGACCCCTTACCCCTCACCATACTGGGGTAGCCCCACTCCAAGGGTTCATTTGGTACATGCCCGGGGTTCTTCTTTAATGCAAGGACACTGTCTTCTGCGTGTTCTGTTCACACCATGCCCTAAAAAATGCAGCACAACAACGCATTACAATGCACCACAGAGCAAGTTGAATGTAGAGCCTTTTGCTTTAAAGGAGAACTATGAGGGGGGAGTGATTTTCACTCACCTCATAGTTCTAGCCGACCTGTGACAATGAGACTGTCACAGGTCGGCTCAGTAGATCGGGAGGTGAGCGAACACATACCGGCGTTCGCTCACCTCTCGATAACAGCTGAGCTACATACTGAGCTTAGGGTGACGGGAGGGCGCTAGTTTGTGTCCTCCCGTTACCCTAAGGAGAACTATGGGGAAAAACACTGACCCCATAGTTCTCCTTAATCAATCAATGATCACATCTTCATAAAAGAAAAATTATTATTTCTGCATAGGAGTCAGTAAAAGATTTTAGCCGCGTTCAGCTGATTGTTGGCGCGACGCTCTGACTCCTGCAGGCCAAGGTGCACGCATGCAGTAACATGGACCGGTGTGCTATCGAAAGTTCCAACTTATCGAGTTCTCCAACTGCCTGACTTCCGGTTTAGTTAGAACTAAGAGGTTTGCCCAAGAAAGCTTTTCTGCGCGAGCGCCAGCCGCGGCATTCCCCTATATACATACACCGCAGCAATGAAGTATTACAATGAACTAGGATCACACTAATCCAGCACGTTATTAATCTCGGGTGCCCCAACTCAATATGGCCGCCGCTTGAGTATGGCCGCCGCTTGAAACCTCTTAGTTCTAACTAAACCGGAAGTCAGGCAGTTGGAGAACTCGATAAGTTGGAACTTTCGATAGAACACCGAAGG